TTTTGTCTTGGTCTCCCCAGTGCTGGGATTATAAGCATGTACCACCACCATGTCTGGATTTAAACAGTTTTTTGTTCATTTCTTTGTTTTTGCAGTGCTAGGAATCTAACTTGGTCTTGTGCATGCTAGGCAAGTGCTCCACCAACGAGCTACATCCCCAACCCTGAGTCTGGGCCTTTTCATCTTTAATATATTCCCCTGTGATTCTGATACAGAGCCAAGTTTAGGGTAACCAGTTTACAAGGTAGATGTCTCAGCCACAGAGTGGAAAGAATTATGGGTGGTTCCTCTCCAAGATCCCCTCCTCTTTCTGTAGTCATTAGCACACTTTTCTCCCAGCCTTCTGCAATGGCGTGCGAACGTTTGTCTCCAAATCAAGGGCTCAGTACTTTAGCAGTGAGTCAGCAGACTCAGATTGCCACGGAGCCTGCCTTTCCAGACGCCTGGGAACCCAGCATGGTCCAGGAAACAGGATGCCATGGGTTCTGCTCTAGATTTGCTCCCTTTTGACTCACTGGTGGCACAAGGCCAGCCTCCAAGCCTCAATTTGCTCACACTCAATAGATAGCTCAAAGAAAGCAGACTTCTGGCCAACAGCTCAAAGGGAGGTATCTCCTGTCAGGCACTGTTTCTTGTTATATAGCCTTCAGCTATACACCTAGACTCATGTAGAGATACTGTATGTGTAATTTTTCCATATGGTTCCCTCTGTTTTTTTATATTTTATTTATTATTTTTATTTTATGTGCATGTATGTGAGTGCACCTATGTCATGCAATGATGCAGAGGTCAGAGGAGGGCACTTGATTCCCCTGGAACTGGCGTTAAAGACAGTTCATAGCCACCATGTGGGTGCTGGGAATCGAACCCTGGTCCTCTGCAAAAGCAGTCAGTGCTCTTAACCGCTGAACAATCTCTCCAGTCCCTTCCCTATGTTTTTTTACATCAACTAGGCATTATTTATCTCTCTTCCCACAGAGTCCAGAAGAGGCAATTGAATCCTCTGAAAGTGGAATTATAGACAATTGTTAGCCATGTGGGTGCTAGGAATCAAACCTGGGTCCTCTGTAAGAGCAGCAAGTACTCTTAACCATCGAGTCATCCCTCCAGCCCAATGAACATGTTTTAAGAGTAATATCTAAACAAAACTTGGTGGGTAGCAAACAAATGAATGGATTTTCTCTAAATGGACTTCTTTAGAAAACTGTCACATATCCTGGGAGACTAAAGCTTTGTCAGTAGCAATTGTTGCTGAAAATATGATTTGAGATCAGAATTATTGAACTTGGGCAGTTAAGATGAGAAAATGTGAGATTTTTAGTTGGGAATAGGTAACTGAGAGAAATTTTTGAGCCCAGACAGTAACTATTGTAGGTTTGGGAGGTATGGTAATTAATCTCGATTGTCAATCTGATTGGATTTAGAATCACCATGGAAACCCACCTCTTGGGGTATTTGTGAGGGCATTTCTAGAAGTTTAACTAAATAAGGAAGGTTCACCTTGAATATGGGTGGTACTATCCCATAGGCTGGGGTCTGGACTCAGTAAAAAGAGGAAAGTGAACTGAGAACCAACATTCATCTCTTCCTGCTTCCCCACTGCTAATACAATGTGATAAATCACTTTGTGCTCCTGCTGCGATGGGCTGTACCCTCAAACTATGAGCCTAAATAAATTCCTCCTGCCTTATAAAAAATAAAAGAAAAAAAGCAGAGCTGCCCCTTTGGGCTCTGTTTGTGTAAGATTGTGTTCCTGGCCTTTGACAACCAGAGCAGGTAGAGGAACCTGGGAGTAGGAATGGAGGGCATCTTGCATAACTCCTGAGTTCCCATTCCCATCTCATTTGATTCTCAGAACAGTGGGGAATAAAGTTCGGTGTCTACCCTGACCCACTATGTCCTCTGTTCTCTGCCCTCATTCTGTTTTAATGTCATTTCATGTCCCCCCTTTTCTGGTTCATGCTAATCCTTGTCTGTGTCCTTGTCTTTGCACTATTTGCACAATTGGAATGCTTTGTCCCCAATACTCACAAAGATGTTTTCTTCTCATGCAGACCTCAGTTTACCTGACACCTGTTTGGAGAAGGCTTTGTTAATCCATTACCAAATCCAAAATGTCCCCAGCACCTGACATGTTATCCTCTAGCACATCATTTTAACTTTCATCCAGCCCTTATCACTGTCTTAGCACTCTTGTATACTGCAGTGTCCCTAGCATCTGAAAAGTATTTATTGAATAAGTGAGCTAATGGGGCTACCCCAGCATGAACTGTGATTTAGATTTGTTGTTGTTGTTGTTTAGACAAGGCCTCTCCTAGACCAGGTTAGCCTCAAATTCAATATATAGCTAGGATGACCTTGAACTCCTGATTTTCCTGCTTCCACCTCCTAAGTGCTAAGATTACAGATATGTGCCACCATGCTGCCATGTTTGTTCTTTTTAAAAAATATTTTATTTTTTATTATTATTATTTTTTGCTCTCTTTTTTTTTTTTGAGACAGGGTCTCCCTGTAGCCCTAGCTGGCCTGAACTCGCTATGTAGACCAGGCTGGCCTTAAACTCACAGAGACCTGCCTGCCTCTGCCTCCCGAGTACTGGGATTAAAGGCATGAGCCACCACACCCGACTATTTATCTTTTATTATTTTATGTGTATGAGTATATTGCCTGCAGGTATATAACTACACCTACGTCATGCAATGCCCACAAAGGTCAGAGGAGGGCGTCAGATCCCCTGGAACTAGAATTATAGACAGTTGTTAGTTGCCATGTGGGTGCTGGGAACTGGACTCCTCTGCAAGAACAGTCAGTGCTTTTAATCACTGAACCATCTCCCCAGCCCCTTTGTGCTCTTTTTTGAGGAGCTGAGAATGGAACCCAGGGCTTTGCACATGCTAGGCAAGCTCTCTACCACTGATCTGCATTACCAGCCTCTGATTTTGTTTTGTTTAGTTTAGTCTTTTGGTCCCAGAACATCTGCAGTTTGAGAAGGGAAGTGACTATCCCAAATCCAATTCAGGCCTTTCTTCTTTTTCTTCCAGGCCCTTCCTGTAAAACCTGACACACAGACCTGGATGGGGTGAGGCTCCTAGGTGTGATGAAAGCTTGGAATTGCCCCAACAGGGCTGAGTTGATGTGGGGGTGAGGCGGAAGGACAGAGCATAGGAAGGAAGAAGCAGGCTAGAACAGGGGAACAGGGTGTGAACAGTGGGAGGGGAAAGGGGTGATTTGGTCCTGTGTCAGGAAGTGTTTCCCTCCACCCTCCCCTGGGGAGAAACCTGACCCCTAGGCAGCTTTGATTTTTAGAAGAAGGTGATCTAGCAACTGCTGAGGGAGGATGAAGGTGTGGCTCGGGTGGTGACCATCTGCTGAGGTCCTCAGCTCGATACTGATCACCCAGAGGAATACCACAGGTTTTGGCCAAACAGGTAACAGGTAAGCTTCCATCTGAAGCCAACTTGACTACACATGGAGCCTCAGACCTCACAGACAGGATGTCTGGGAAAAGGAGAAAAGGGTCTCTAAGGAAAAGGGGTAGTCAAGGTTGAATGTCCCAGCATTTGGAAGGCAGAGGCTGCTGAATCTCTGTGAGTTTGAGGCCAGTCTGATCTACATATTGAGTTCTATTCCAGCCAGGGCTACATAGTGAAACCCTATCTCAAAAAACAAAAACAAAAACGAAAAGGTTGACTGCCAGTGATAACAGCAGTAATAATAGGTGATATTTATTGAGAGCTTATAATACATCGCTTTATATTTGTTCTCTCATTCAATCCTCAAAAACTTCTCTACAAAGTAGGCATTGTTGGTATTACTACTGTTATTCCCATTTGAGAGATGTAGAAACTGAAACTCAATGAAATTCTCTTGCCCACAGTCACATAGTAAGAAGCAATCCAAGTGTGCAGTGATGACAATGCACTACAGAAACCTAGGCCTGGAGAGGGCTGCCAGGGCAAATTAAGAGAGGGGAGCCAGATTGATCCCTGCAAAGGTGGGGGTGGGGAGAAAAATGGGGTAGACAGTATATAAATAGCAGGGCTGTTTTTATCCGTACACATGGCTGAATCAGGCAAGTGCTCTGTCTGGCACAATTTGAGGGCTCTGAATGCCAACCCAGCCCTGCCTGTGTCAAACTCCCTTCCCAGCACGTCCCTGGAAGCTGAAATACTTACTGAGGGAGTCATTTCTCTGGGTCAGGACATTAACTCCACACGACCCACCCGTAAAAATACACCAGTTGGAAAAGAAACCCGTCAATCTGACACTGGTTGAACATAGCGAGGTTAGTCAGTTGGGTCCTATGGGAGGGAAGTTCATCTTTTATGTTCGAAAAGAAAGTGGTCTTCATATTTAAAGAATATGTGGCTTGTTCCAAAATCTTTGTCTCCCTGATTGCAAAAGCCTGGGAATATATTGCATAGCCCAGAAATCCTAAACTAGACTATATCCCCTGGGAGAAAGCTGTGGAAGCGCTCCTAACTTCCTTTGCTGTTGCTGGATGGGCACCAAACGCTAGTAGTTTCTGCTCTGGTCACTTGGCCCTCATGAGACCTGCTGGCATTCATGTATCTAATTTTTAGATGGTAAACGAATTATTATTTACTGCTTGCTGTGTCGATAGGCTTCTGAGTGGCGCTCCCTGGTATGCAGCAGGGACGTCTCAAGATGCAAAGCAGGCGGCGAACAGAAGAGCTCTCAGCTCAGCAGTCACTGCGCTGCAGCCAAACAGATATGTGCGCAAAGGTAGGAGCCTGTCTCTGCCATCTGCTGGTCATTCGCCCTACACCCGCAGTCAGGTCGTGGCTGCTCTGGCCTGGTCCCAAAAATGTGAGCGCCGCCGGGTCCTCCCGCCGCGCCTGCAGAGTCCAGGGCAGCGCGGCAGGCGCCGGGAGTCGGGCTGGCTTCCCGGTGCGGGAGGGGGGAGGGGGCGGCGCCGCGCGGGGCGGGGCTCCCAAGCCTTCTCAGATTCTTATTCCCGGCCGCGCGCTGCGAGCGAGCTCTCAGTTGACCCGGGGAGCTGCACTGTGCTCGCGGCAGATCGGCCTGACAGACTTGCAAGGGCTGGGGCGGACGTGCGGGCTGGCTGGGAGCAGACACACACCCGGCAGCCACCAGGTCCCAGACAGGATTGCATCCAGAGGCCAGCAGCAGACCCTGCTCGGCGCAATCTCCTGCGCCCCGCCGCCCTGCTCCGGTGCAGGCGTCCTGCGGCCGCCGCCTCCAAAGTGATCGCTACCTGGCCGTCTTCGCCAGGCTCGGGACCATGAAGCCGCTGCCGTCGGTGGTGCTGAAGGTCTTTCTGGCAGCAGGTAAGAGGGCTGCTGAAGTCTCTGAGGTCGGGGGGATGGGGGCACTATGCCGGGGACACGTGGGAAGGTTGCTGCAGCGCCCCCAACACGGACCACTTGGTGGGGCCCGTGCGCCCTGGAGGGCGGGCTTCCATCACCATGCGTGGTGGCGTGGGGTCTTAGGCGGAGGGGCTGATGTGGCCTCGCTTCTTGTTCGCAGTGTTGTCTGCGCTGGTGACGGGTGAGAGTCTGGAGCGGCTCCGGAGAGGTCTGGCAGCTGCAACCAGCAACCCCGATTCTCCAGCTGAATCCACAGACCAGCTACTACCCGTGGGAGGTGGTGGTGCTCGGGAAGTCCAGGACTTGGAAGAGGCAGATGTGGACCTTTTTAGAGGTGGGTGCGGAGGCCGCCTAATCTCAGACACTGTTCGCAGTTGAAGAATAGGCAGATCTGAGATATATTCTGTTGGGTACTGGACGGGCGGGGGGGTGGTATTTATGGGAGACTTTAAGAAAACGCTATGGCCTGATAAGGGGCAGGGTATTCTGGATTATAGGTTCTGCTGTCTTTCCTTGTGTCTCGGTTGGTTGGTTGCTACTTTCTGGATACTTCGGAGCAAACTGAAAGAGAGAAGTTGTCCTCTGAGGTAAACTGGGTGGTGGGACAAGTCATGGTTGAGATGCTTTCTCTAGAGTCCCTATGTGGGGGGTAGGGGGGAGGTGCAAGTCAACTCTGCCATATTCAGTAATAATTACCTATAAAAAGAGATAATAGACCAGCACATGGCAAGTGTGCAGTGTTAGGCTCCTTCACCCACCAGTCTTTAGGCTAGGGAAATTTGAGTGAAGAACTCTTGGCTTTGGTAGAGGAGGCCAGCACCTCTGGAGCTGACTATGACCCTGGGGCCCTAGGAGGCTGCTTTGAGATGTGGTGAGTCTGTAAGTATACTTGAAGCATGGAGACTTTCTGTCTACTTGAATCTCCTAGATTCCAACTATGTGTATTCTTCTAACCTGCATCTGTGGCTGTGGCTGAGCACAGGTACTGGGCAGAGTCCAGAGCCTGCTGGCCACCTGCAGCAATTCTCAGAGGAGGAGCCAGCGCTAAGCCCTCTGGCCCCGGAATGACTATATTTGGTTGGAAAGATACATACCTGTTCCAGCCCTGCCTGTTGCTCTCTCATCAGCCAGGGCTTCCCTAGGTACTCTATTTGATTTGCATAAGTCAAGAGTCTGTTCCAAAGCTGAGACTGGGATCCCACACTTCATCCTGTCACAGTGGCCCTTGGGGTCACCTATGTCCTGAACAGTCTGGATTCTCCTGGCACTCTCCTAGCTGGGCAGGGCTGGGCTGGGCTGTGACTCACCCCCCCACCCACATGGCTGCTCCTCATACCTCTACAGACCTGACTCACTGCTCCCTCTCTTCAGCGGGAGTCTAGTTTGTCAATCTGCTATATTCTCTTTCCTCTTTTGATTGCCTTGGCCCTCCTGCCTTGCCTTCCCTGGAGCCCTGGCCACTGACTTCCTCTTATAACCTTCCACTGCCTTGCCTTCTGGGCCCAAAAGGAGCTTGGGACTGGACCAGAGACCACAGTTCTAATCCCAATCCTATACTATCCTTGGGCAAATCACTGCCTTTTGTGATTGTAAGGTTTTCATCTTGAAAACGAAAGGGCTTGGCATTCGAAGATTCTAGGTCTCCAGTCTAGTGTATCATGTTCACACAGGCTGTAGCTATGGACACTGAACACCTTTTTACTATTGGGTGCAGGGATGGAAGATGCTGGGCTCAGACCCCTGGGCTAATGGTCATAGTCCCATATGGATGTCTGAGGTTGTTTTCCCCTAGTGTCTATAGCCTAGAAAGAAGAGGTGGGAGCAGGGAAGAGTCCTCATTGTTCCTGTTCTTCTGGACAGTTAGTTCCTTTTCATCTCTCTACTCCTTGTACATATTGTAACCCCTGTCCTTATCCCAGATATAAACGGAACATTTGGGGATCCATCTAAGTGGATCTTTGAGAAAATGGATAAGCTGTAAAAAGCATATGACAGAATAAATATTTTGCTTGAAGGCAGAAAAACAAGGCCTTTTAAACCAGGAATTGCCTGTTTGCTATTTCTGAGCTAGGTTCTACCCTAAACTTGTCCTCTGATACCAATGGGAACTCCAAAAGAAAGGCCCAAAGATAGAGATTTTCTTCTTACTTTAGAAGCTTCCTACCTACCCCAAAACATCCAAGCTCCTTCTCCCAAAGCAATTTTTGACTGATACTATCTTTCTGCAAGTGGGTCACTGAGTACAATATCGGGAAATGAGGCTGAGGGCTAAAATAGAATCAAGTAGATGTGGGGGAGTCGGAGCTGGGGGTAGAAAGTGCGCAGCAGTGTGAGTGTGAGGCTGGTAGCTTTGTCCAGTGAGCTGCAGTTACTCCAGGAGCTAGCATTCTTAGAATGAGGTTGTTGACCAGTGAAACACTTCCCTTGGGACCTATCCAAAACTCTACTTCCTCTTTCTAGTGGTTCTGAAAGCTTTCCCAGGTTTCTAACTCCTGAGGTGGGATCAAAGAGTGCATGTATCATCTGAGTGGGCATGGTAGTACTCCCAGCATTTGGGAGGCAGAGGCAGGCGGATCTCTGTGAGTTCAAGGCCAGCGTGGTCTACATAGTGAGTTCCTGGCCAGCTAGGGCTACAGGGAGACCCTGTCTCAAAAAGACCAAACAACAACAAAAAAGTGCATGCATCCTCACAGATTATGGTTCTGAGCACCTGTAATCTCATGTCTCAGCGAGCTAAGGCAGGAGAGGTACCAGTTTGAGGCCAGCCCGAGTTGTATTTAGAGATCCTTTCTCAAAGGACAGGAGGGGTGCTGCCTACTTCCAAATACCATCCTGGTGTGATCTTCCCCCAAAGAGTCAAAAGTTTAACAGGATACCTTTCTCCTGCAGCTGGTTTCTCCACCAAGCCGCAAGCACTAGCCACACCAACCAAAGAAAAGTATGGGAAAAAAAAGAAGAAAGGCAAAGGATTAGGAAAGAAGAGAGACCCATGTCTTCGGAAATATAAGGACTTCTGCATCCATGGAGAATGCAAATATCTGAAGGCTCTCCGTACTCCGTCATGCAAGTAAGTGTCCCATCCTCAGAAGAAATCTCATCAGCACACTGGCAGCCACATGGCTCTTCTTCCTTGTCACTGTTCCTTGAACTCACATTTCCACCCAGTTTCTTTTCAACCTCTGGGCGGAAGTTTAGAGGAAGGGAAATATTTTTAGTAAAAGGAAGTCCCCCGCCACCACCACCACCACCAAAGAGGATGCAATTTCCTGTCGTATGGGTTTGTGACACTTTTAATCCTTCTTGACCAGAAATGAGCATATGCCTCAGAGAACTGGCACTTGTGAAGGCAGGTCCTTCATTCCTGCCTTGTGCCCTTCTCTGGAAGGGAGAAGCTGGTGGAAAAGGTGGCATAGTGGTTTCCAAGGGGGGTGGAGCTCCTCCAGGCAGATATTCAGTACCTTTGGTCATGTGCTGTGTAGGAGGTGTGTGTACTCCTGTGTGTGCACATGAACAGATGTGGGTTGATTCCAAGGCATGGCAGGACTGTACAGAGAGGAATCGTGTAGGTGAGTTGACACCCCTCCTCTCTACTTTCTCACTCTGGCAAGGGCCAGAAGGAAGCGGGAGGCATGAAGGGTATTGGCCTTTAGCCAGTACAACACTTCCTTTGTGCAGGATTAAGAGTAGAAGACGACTCAGCAGACACCATCACTTCTTCCCCAGCGGTAGTGTGGGTAGAGGGGTTGTGGGTTCCTTAGCCTCGCCTAGGCCAAACCCAGTAGGTGGCCACCTTGGCAACCCCTCAAGGATGACAGCACTGCTACACTCTCTGGCAGGCATAATGTCACCACTGTGCCTGAGACAAGTATCCCATGTCAGGCTACAAACATTGTCTCCTCTGTCAAGAGAGACAGGCTCAGGGGCTGGAGAGATGGCTCAGCGATTAAGAACACTGGCTGTTCTTGCAGAAGACCCGGGTTCAAATCCCAGCACCCACATGGCAGCTAACAGCTATCCATAACTCCAGTCCCAGGGAATCCAACAACCTCTTCTGACCTCCTCAGGCATTGCATGACATGGGTGCACTTACTTACATGCAGGAATAATATTCATACACATAAAATAAAAATTAAAATTAAAAAAAAAAAACAACATGAGGCAGATACTGAAAAAAAAAGAGAGAGACAGGCTCTTGGGGCCCTCTGACCCTCTGACTCTTCCTAGGAGACTCTGGACAAGCCAGGACTCTGTTGTGTACATACTGCTTTCCATCTTGTCAATAAATAAATAAATAAATAAATAAATAAATAAATAAAAGATCTGTCTGAATAGCATCCCTTCCACCTGTGATTGGCACAGATCCTTAAACTTTTAAAAGCTTCCTTGCCTTGTCCAATCACACATAGCAGAGTTGCTTTGTACTTAGCAGTTGGCAGGCATACCCATCACTCCCCGCCATCCACAGTCAGTGGGTTCTTTCCTGTTATATCCTGGTCAACAGCTTGGTATTGGAGGGAGTTAAGAATGGCATAGAAGCTGGGTATGGTGGTGCATGCCTTTAATCCCAGCACTTGGGAAGCAGAGGCAGGTGGATTGCTGTGAGTTCAAGGCCAACCTGGACTATATACCAAGTTCCAGGCCAGCTGGGCTATGGGAAGACCCTGTCTCAAAAAGACCAAAAAAAAAAAAGAATGACATAGAGAGTTTCTGTCTTTTCCTTCCCAGTGTCCTGGGACAGGAAAGAAAATGTTTGTCTTAAATTTGTAAAGTGGCATCATTAACCCAGGGTAGAGAAAGTGACTCTGAGGGAGGTCAAGATGGACTATAACCAGGAGTTGGTCTGGGCCACAGTGGCCCCAGAGTGTTTGGATGTACAGATGAGGGGCTTCCTCTGCTCAGCTGAAAAGCCTTGTAAGGCTGTTCTAGACAGCAGGGCTCCCCTAACTTTTAAGCTCAGAGAACCTGAGAAGTTCTCTGAGAACAAGTGTGATCAAATCCACCTTCCCAGTAACTCTAGGGTTGGTGATAATAATCATAATAGTGCCATCTTTTCTTTCCTAGAGCATGAGTGTTTATATTTAATATGAGTTAAGCCCAGCAGGCATGTTGAGGACCTACTCGGTGCCTTACACTGTCCGAAGGAGTAGAAAGAGATGGTGTCCTAGGATTTCCAAAAGCCCTCTACTGGGAAGGCAGAACTTTCTATCTCTACTTGAAAAATAAGGAAACTGCAGACAGCAAGTAGGAAGTTATTTGCATGAGATCAACAACTAAATAAGTAGATGGGAAGACTGGGTCTCAGGTGCCTCACCCCTATTCCAGCATGCTATTCGTGCCCCCAGGCCACACTGGGTGTTGACTTTCCTCCTCTATCCCTGTCCTTAAAGAGTTGGAGCAGGATTTTATAGAGGGCAGCTGTTGTCCTAGAACTCTCTTAGGATTTTACTAGCCTAAGAGCATTGCAAGCTGACTTGAAGCTTTCATGTCAGCTTCCTAGGCAGATTTTTCATGGAGTGGATTCTGTGCCTGGTCTGTTTGGTCCTCCTATCTTCAGTCCTCTGTATTTGGAGCAGAAAGAAGCAACAAGGCACAGCTCCTGGTTTGGAGCAATGTGACATCTGTGCACCTATATCTGTGTCCCTTTTCTGTGGCTCCTCCTTGCCTCTAGACCCAGAAACTACCAGCCAGGGTGTATCCAGGCTGCTGTGGTGAACTTGAGGCTTGCTGGCTTCCTAAACCAGCCTTTTACAGCCACCACGAACAGGAAAGCCCTTCTTTCTCACCAGCTTAAAGTTTGTTTCAAAGGGCAGTTTCCTGGGGCTTCTGACTGGTTGCTCGCCCAGAAATTGGCTGCAAAATTTTCTGTGGCTAGAGGAAACCTGGGGGCAGCCGGGTTAGGAAGAACTCAGAGCTAGAAGAGAGACAGGCCTGGGGCCTCTACTGGCCACACTACTCATTCTGAGGCCCCCCTCTCTTAGCTCCATCTAACTTGATCATCCCACTCATTGAGATACAGGCCATACCTTCTGCAGTTTGATTGTATATTAACTCCATATATGTGGGGCATGTCCTTTCATTAAGCACATTCATAGCCACATTATCTCATCTGGGCTTTTCAGGATGTTTCCATGAGGTAAGCATTTATTATCTCTGATTTGACATGAGGAAACCAAAGCTTAGAAAAGTAATGTGTCTTACCTAGGATCACCTGGCTAGAAATAGTAACAGAGCAAGTCTGGAACTCATATTCTGATCTCCTCTATCAAATGATGCTCCTTCCACCTCCTGCGGTAGATTGGAGAAATCAGTGTAGAAGATAGCTCTAGACTCTAGAAGGTTCTTCTGTGTGGGTCTCTCCCTCCCCTCGTGGGTCATTGGCCACCAATCCACGAGGACAAAGGGAGCAGAAGCGAGGAACAGGGTCAGGACGGCCAGTGAGCACGACAGAAAAGACCTTCCTGGGAGTCAGATTCAGTGATACAGCTCTGTTTATTCAGTGGGGGTCAGGGAAAATATAGTGTGGAGGCAGCAGCCAAAGCTTCAGCTGATAGGTGCTCATAGTATGCTTTATTTACATGTGGTAGGGAGATCCTATCCTCCGACTAGAGGGAAATGCCTAATTATCATATAGAAAAAACCTGGGGGCAGTTTTATTGCAGGTAACTATGCCAAAGGTCATGTTTCAAATAAGGTCAGGCATCCATGCTTGGTGGCACTTTCCAGATAAGTCAGGCAGAGAACAGGAGCCCCCTCCCCCCCAAGAAAGGGAGTCCTTCCATATAGCGCATAGCAGAGCTATCTGGACATGGTGGACTGCAACCTTAGCAGCAGGGTCCTCTAACACTTCTGTTGTAATGCAAATTCTGAAATGGGCCATAGACATGGAGAGGAGAAACATGTCCTAGTTTGATGGATGTGGGTGCTGGCTTGGGGCAAGACATATGATCTCACCCCCCATCCAGGGATGCTTGGAATGTACTCAACCCCCCTCCTTTCCTGGGGAAGGCAGGAGTCCACTGCAAAGGGAGGGTGAGGTGGGTAATATGGGTAATATTAGCATGTTTACATTATTATACTTTTGACTCAGAATGGAGGTGGAGGGAATTATGTAACTGAATTGCAGGACTCTGAGGCCAAGTTTTATTTCTATCATCTGAGTAACTACCTGTGGGGTTTGAATGATGGGTTGAAAGTACAAAACAGATTCAACTTCAGCTCCCCTCCCCCAGAATAGCAAAGTTTCTGAAGTCATCTAAATTTTGGGGTTGAATCCTTCTTCTGCCCCATGCTAGCTTTGTGACCTTTGCATGTTATTTAGCAGAAATTAAGCCTTGGTTTTTCATCTCCTAAATAGGGATGGTAACTTGTACTTTACAGAGATGGTTTGACCTTAAAGGTCAAATGAAATCAAAAGACCCGAGTTCAAGCCTCAGCACCAAACAATCCTTGTAAAACAGCACAGAGCCAGGCGTGGTGGTGCACACCTTTAGTCCCAGCACTCCGGAGGCAGAGGCAGGCCGAACTCTGTGACTTCAAGGCCAGCCTGGTCTACATAGTGAGTTCCAGACCAGCTGGGGCTACAGGGAGACCCTGTCTCAAAAAGACAAAAAAAAAAAAGCTCCCAGGAGTGCCCCTGGAAAAAAATCACTCATGCATGCATGGGACAGTTGTGTATAGTGGGTCTGACCAACATTTATGCTGTATGTAGAAAGCTGGTTACTCAGAGCACCCAGGAAGGAGGTATAGGGCAGTCCTAGGAAGGGGCAGGAATGCAGTACCACCTAGCTTGACCCCTCTGCTGCTGACAGATTGGACAGATCAGCTCTCTGGAGCCTCCTAGGGCCCTGCCAGCATGAAGAAGGGATTCATCCCACCCCTGAGGCACCAGGTGCACAACCTCCTTCCAAAGAAGGTGCATTTCAGAAAGAGGGGCTGCTAGGTACGCAAGTGCTTCCTTTAGCAGCTACTGACCTACTGTCCCCAGGCTGATAGGCTGAGCTCCTTGCCCGAGCTGGTGGGTGAGAAGTTGGGGTTTGAGTGGACAGTTAGAGAGCCCATATTTCTGCCCCTGCTGTGTGACCTTGGGAAGCCAGGCCTCCTTAGCATGGGACTTCTACCTACATCAAAGGATCTGGGGTGCTGAAAGGAAGGGGTGTGAATGTGTTTCTTCAGTAGCCTTCCTAAGAGCTTTAAAGGAAATGCTTTGTGTTAAACGAGGCAGTTGTCACATGATTTGTTTCTGGAGTGAGAAGAGCCAAGGAATTGTTTCTGACATTCTTTTATGCGCTGACAGGGAAGCTGGGCAGGAAGATGCTATCTTGGTTTGTTTGCTTTGTCCTGCAGTGAAGGAGGCCTGAGAGCCCGAGACCAAAGGCTGAGGTTCAGCTTCCAGGTTGACCTAGGAATTAAATGAAGGAAACTTAAGAAAAATGATTCCTGGCAAAGGGATAGGGCCTATTAATAGCATTGATGGGCAAAGCTGTGTTTATTTCTAGGTCAAAATGTTCAGGGGCCTCACTAGAGGGAGTGATACTGAATCCCCTCAACTCAATCCACCAAGTCTTCTTCCTACGTGGCTGAAACAGAACACCTTGACACAGATGTAATAAATCAGGCCCATGTGGAATATATCTAAACGGAGACCTTCAAGTTCTCCCTCGATTTTTCCCTGCCTGGAGCAGTACTTGGGGAGTGGGGGGGGGGGGGGGAAAAGAGAGAGAGAGAGAGAGAGAGAGAGAGAGAGAGAGAGAGAGAGAGCATTAACTTTGTCTTTTCCTTGTTCTAGCTGCCATCCAGGTTATCATGGAGAGAGGTGTCATGGGCTGACTCTCCCGGTGGAGAACCGTTTATATACATATGACCACACTACTATCCTAGCTGTGGTGGCTGTGGTGCTGTCATCTGTCTGTCTGCTCGTCATAGTGGGGCTTCTCATGTTTAGGTAAGTGTTTGGGGCTCTTGCAGGCTAGTTCTGCAAATCACTGGCTTCTTCCTCCTGGGACTTAGCAATGGAGCTCCCTTGTGCCCCTACATCTTGGGCAGGAACTCCAGAAGCCTAGTTTATCTGACATGGCACAAGGCCTGTATATAAAGCCTAGGGTAACTGTTGCTGGGTCAGAGCAGATTTCTGCCCTCTGTTCCTCATAGAAGTTCATTTCCTACCTCTGTGGCCCAGTGACTCACCCGTGGAGCCATGTCTTCACACATTTTCTCTTGGCTGTGTTCTTTGATGACATCAGTGTGTAGTTTGGTAGTAAAGGCATAGATAATGAACGCTATGATAAGTCCTTCCAACTCAGGGATCAAATTGGACCTAGCTTCCAGTTCAGGTTGTAGGTTGGTAGATACCAAGAACTGTGCACATTTTCAGATAGTATAACTCACTCACTGTCGACACCATAATCTTGGAGTGATTGTATTCTGTAAGGATGCTTTGAGAATCAAGTAAGGTTAAATAAAACAAAACAATCCAGGAATGATGATGCACATCTGCAATTCTAGCACTCAGAAGGTAGAAGCAGGAGGATCACAAGTTTGGGGACAACTTGGGCCACATATGGAGTTCTATATCAGTCTGGGCTATGAGATGCTGTCTCAAAATCCATAAATAAATAAATAAATAAATAAATAAATAAATAAATAAATAAAATTTGAAATGTAGCCCACTAGTAGGGACTGGCATCCCTTAGGGTAGCTAAATTTTGAGTGGAGATCCGTGAGGCTGCCTCATCCTTGGGGCTTTTCCAAATGACAGAGAGAGCCTTAGTGGGAGTTCCTTGAAAGGACTTGCTGTGGGACCTGCATTTTGTCACAGCAGGCATAGCTTGCTCACAAACCTTATCTTCCTCAGGTACCATAGGCGAGGAGGTTATGATGTGGAAAATGAAGAGAAAGTGAAGTTGGGTATGACTAATTCCCATTGAGAAGGACCTATGCTCAAGGTAATGGTCCATACTTTGCCCTGGGTAGCATTGAGGGGTCAAGGCATGGCAGGGGGTAGAGGGGTGTCTTAGGATCTTGAATTTTTCTTTTGATTAGGGATTGCAGGAACAGACTACTATTGTGGAGTCAATGTCCCTTTGCAGAATTTCTTTTTATGGGGGTCTTTTTGAGATAGAGTGTCCCCGTAGCTCCAGCTGGTCTGGATTCACTATGGAGACCAGAAACTCACAGAGATCCACCTGCCTCTGCCTCCCGACTGCTGGGATTAAAAGCATGTGTCACCACGTCCAGCTTGCAGAATTCTTTTAAAAAACCATTGGTGAGGCATCTCCAGTTAGGGTGAAAAGTTGCTAGAGCAATGCCTAAGAGAGATACCTGAGGTCAGGTTCTTCCTCAGCACCCTCCCTTCCCGTTCCTAGATGTTCTTCCCATTTCATTAGTTTGGACCCAGGAGAAAAGCTTAAGACCTCTTTAGAGTGGCCCCAGTTTTAAATGCCTTCCTCCTGTGCTTTAGGAAGCTGCGGAGGATGGTTGGTTACCTCTAAAAAGATACCAGTTGATTACAAGTTCTGCAGAGAGGAAAGACTTTACAACCAGCCATGAAGACTTCTTCATTCCCAGTTGCAACTTTGCCTGGGCCTCCTGTAATTGCTCTGCAAAAATATCAGAGCTTTCAAGTGCCAAACAAACTATATCCATTGGGATCTGGATCAGAAGAAAGCAGAAGCTGGAGACCTTCAGGCCCTTCTGATTCCCTTCTACCAGACCCACCAGTTTGTTTAAAGTGTTTGTTTAAACACTTATCTTCTGGATTAAAGTGCCAGCTAGATTCCATATGCTCCAGAATCTTTGAAAAAAAGGAGGAGAAGAAGAAAGAAAGATTTATGGACTGGAAGAAAGCAACAGAGTTGAGAAGCCATGTGTTCAAGTAGCCACAAAGGATCTGCTGTTTGGACCCTCCAGCGCTGGATTTGATGAGCTAACTGTGAAATACTGTAAGCCCAAGAACTCTGAATTTTGGGACTTCTACCCAGAGGAAAAAATAACAACTATTTTTTGTTGTTGTTGTTATTTGTTTGTAAGATGCCTTTTAAATTATATATTTATTTTATTCTATGTATGTTAATTTATTTAGTTTTTAACACTCTAACAATAATTATTCAAGTGCCTAGACTGTTACTTTGGCAATGTCCTGGCCCTCCTCTTTGCATCCCCAGCATCTGGCTCAATGACACACTCCCATGTCACAAACCTGAGATGGCTCTTTCACCCATCTGTAGTAATTTATTGTCTGTGTACATTTCAGAAGATGTCCCAGAAGTAGAGTACCCCAGAGGGGTTGGGATGCAGGGGTTAGTTTGGTCAAAGCCACTCTATGAGTTGGACTGCAGTCTTGCCTAGGCAATTTTTGTCTACTGTTCATGTTTTGAAAGCCCAAGGTGCTTTCAAAAGTGTCAAAGTGTAACAGATATCAGTGTTTGCCTGTGTCCTCTCCCAGCTAAATCTCAGAAGAGGTTGGGTATCCATACCTGTAGTTTCCTGGCCTTTTCCCCCACGGCCTTGTCCCACAGAGTGGGAACCCAGTCTCCCTTGTGTCAAGACATTTCTCTTACTCCTACCATTCTTCTGGTGCTACTCCATGCAGGGGTCAGTAGAACAGAGGACAGTCTAGAGAAGGATTAGTAAGGAAAAAGGCTGAGGATGAACAGGGAACACTGGGGTAGACTGTTCTTGGTAATTGAATACCTACCAACTGCTGTTTTGAGAAGATTGGAGGTGGGGCAGGTTTTCGGTAACCCCACCTATCTCACTGAAACGACAATGGCATGCTGTCATGGTCCCCATGGAAGTTTCTGGTGCCATATTTGAACTGTTACAACTTGTATTTCCAAAATCTGGTTCATATTTATACTTTGCAATCCAAATAAAGATAACCCTTACTCCATCCTCTGCTTTTTTTTTTTTTTTTGGTAATGTGTGTATGTGCATATGTTATAGAGGCCTGAGGTTGACTTCAGGTGTCTTTTAAGATTGTTCTTATTTTTTGGTCTTCCTGAGACAGGGTCTTCCTGTAGCCCCAGCCGACCTGGAACTCACTATGTATTAAGGACAACCTCAATCTCACAGAGCTCTGCCTGCCTCAGCCTCCTGAGTGCTGAAACTAAAGTACTGCACCTGGCAAGATTGTTCGTTGACTCCAAAACTCATCAATTCAAGTACATAGCAAGCACTTTACTGACTGGGCAATCTCCCCAGCCCTGGTCTCCTTGGTTTAACTGGGAACTTGTTTAACATAAGAGTTTTCTAAACCCTGTATTGGTGTGAGGCATATTCATGAACATTATCTCAATATCCCCAACAACTCCATGCTGGAGGTACTACTACAGTCTCATTTTTTTAAATTTCATTTATTATTTTTATTTTATGTATATGAATATATTGCCTGCATGTAGGTAAGTGCACCTGTGTCATGCAATGCCCTTGGAGGACAGATGAGGCCATCAGATCCCCTGGAACTGGAGTTACAGACAGTTGTTAGCTGCCATGTGGGTGCTGGGATTTGAACCTAGGTCTTCTGCAAGCACAACCAGTGTTCTCAACTGCTGAGCCATCTCTTCAGCCCACAGTCTCATTTTTCTAAAAGAGGAAACAGTCTCAAATTATATAACTTGCCTGAAACACAACAAGCAACAGAGCTGGGACTTAACTACCACTGACACAAGAAAGAATAGACCTTTGGCAAAGGAAGTTTGACTGGCTGGGCTTGCACACATTCAGTTGACAGGCCCTCGACTCAGGATGTAGTTGTGTGTTGTACATGCAGCAGGCATTGTTCCTGGAAAGAAAAAAGACATTTTTGCCTTTCCTCTAATGCTCCATAGTCAATCCATTAACAAATCTTGTCAGCTGTACTTTTTGAGTATGTTATACGCAAATACATCTTATCACTGGTACTCTCGTCACCTAGCCCAATGCACTGTCACACCTGGACTCTTGGGACAGCCTTCTGCCTTCCTAGTTCCACCTTGCTTCCATATGATCCATTTTCTTTTTTAAATTTTATTATTTTTATTTCATGTGTATGAGTGTATTGCCTGCATGTATGTGAGTGCACCCATGTCATGCAATGCCACAGAGGTCAGAAGAGGGCTTTGGATTCCCCTAGAACTGTAGTTAAGGACAGTTCGTTGCCGCCATGTGGGTGCTGGGAATCGAACCCAGGTCTTCTGCAAGAGCAGTCAGTGTTCTTAACTGCTGAGCCATCTCTCCAGCCCCCATATGATCCCTTTTCAATATCGTAGCCAGAATGATCTTTTATTTAAAACATAATTCAGAGCTGGGAGTGTACTCAGTGGTAGAGCACATGCTTTGCAAACATGAAGTCCAGGGTTTGATCCCCCCATATCACATGCGCATAAATCAGATTTTGTCTGCCCTGCAGGCCTTTCCTTACTACCCTGTTAGACATAATATATTCCTCTCCATCCTACTCTTTTCTCCTTACAGTGTTTCTCCATGGCCCTAATCACCATCACCATTTCTCTTGGTTATTGTCAATCCACTCCTACTAGAATGTTAGAACCTGAAGGAAAGGATGTGTTCATCGTTCCAATCTCAGATTCTAAAACAATACAGTTGTTATGTGGGTAAATAGGAGTCAGTTTTCTCCTTCCATCATGTGGATCCCAGGTATGGAACTCAGGTTGTCAGATTTGGCAGCAAGTGTCTTTAGCCACTGAGTCATCTTGCCCTCCCTCCCTCCATCCATCCATCCATCCCTCCCTTCCTTCCTTTTCTCGGTCAGAAACAAGATCTTGCCATGTAGCCCAGACGTGGCCCAAAGTCTCCATCTTCCTGCCACAGCCTTGTAAATTCTGGGATTACAAGTGGATACCACTACACCTGGCCCACACAGAGATCTTGTATGTACTTTGAATATCTTTTTTAAACTTTGGGCATCAGTGTGATAGTTAATACCGTCAGCTTGGCAGATCTAGAATCACCTAGGAAACAAATCTCTAGCCATGGCTGTGAGGAATTTTCTAGATAGGTTAATTGAGGTGGGAAGACCCACCCCAGCTGTGAGTGGTACCATTCCATGGCTGGAGTCCCAGATTGAGTATTAAGAAGAAAACAAGCAGAACGCCACCATTCATCCCTCTCTACTTCATGACTGAGGATGCAGGGTGACCAGCTGCCTCAAGCTCCTGCTGCCATGACTTCTCTGCCATGGCAGTCTGTATTTCAAACTGTGAGCCAAAATAAACCCTTCTTTTTTTTTTTGGCCTTTTTGAGACAGGGTCTCCCTGTAGCCCCAGCTGTCCTGGAACTCACTATGTAGACCAGGCTGTCCTTGAACTCACAGACATCCTCCTGCCTCTGCCTCCCAAGTGCTGGGATTAAAGGCATGCACACCACACCCGGCAATCCTTCTCTTTTAAAAAAAATATTTTATTTATTATTTTTATTTTATGTGTATGAGTGTATTGCCTGCATGTAGGTAAGTGCACCCATGTCATGCAGTGCCAGCAGAGGACAGAAGAGGCTGTCGGATCCCCTGGACCTGGAGTTAGGACAATTGTTAGATGCCATGTGGGTGCTGGGATTTGAACCCGGGTCTTCTGCAAGAACAACCAGCGTTCTTAACCGCTGAGCCATCTATCCAGCCCGAACCTTTCTTTAAGTTGCTTTTGTCAGGTATTTTATCACAGCCAACAAGAAAGCAGCTAATACAACCAGTAACTCCCAAAGCCCTATGACTATCCGAGAACCCAGAAACTCTACACCTAGGCATTTTTTAAAAATCTTTTTTATTTTTGGTCTTTTTGAGACAGGGTCTCCCTGTAGTCCCAGCTGGCCTGGAACTCGCTATGTAGACCAGGCTGGCTTCGAACTCATAAAGATCCACCCGCCTCTGCCTCCCAAGTGCTGGGATTAAAGGTGTGTGCCACTATGCCCATCTTCTACTCCTGAGCATTTATATTAGAGAAACAAGTGCCCCTGTTCACCAAAAGACATACAAGAGTGATTTTAGCATTACTAACAATCTCCAGAAACTAGAAACTAGTAGGATGTTGTAGAACCTCCAATCTTAGCACTTAGGAGGTAGAGGCAGGAGAATTGAGAGTTTGAGACAAGCCTGGGCTGCACAGACCCTGTCTCAAAAAAAAACACCAAGGGCTAACAGATAAGAAGCTCGGGGTAAAGTGATTCCCTAGCATGCACAAGGTTCTGATTTGTTCCCAGCACAAAAAACAAAAACAACCCCCCACAAAACACAACCCTATCAGTATTTGATAATTAATAAACTGCAGTGTATACAGACAATGAAGTAGCAAATAGTAATATAGATGAATCCACAAAATTGCTGACTGAAAGGAGCTAGACATAAGTGAGGAAATTTTGTGTGATTCCAATTATATAAAACTTTAAAACTGGACCAGAAGATGACTCAGCAGGTAAAGGAGCTTGCTGCCAAACCTGACAACCTGAGTCCAATCCCTGAACCCACATGGTGGGAGGAAGGAACAAACTTCCCCAAGATGTCCCTTCACATATGTATGGTGGCACAAGCCCCACCTCCCACACTAATAATAAATGAAATTAAAAATAAAACTAATTTGTGGTGAAAGAAATCCGAAAGTTGTTGGATCAATAATGTCTAAAAACAGACAGAGAGAGGACATCTGGTGTTCCAATAGTTTTTTCTGTGACCTGGTGCCTGGATTCACAGATGTGTTCACTTTGAGAAAATTCGCTGGGTATGCCTTGCACGTTTTTCCCTGTGTTATACTTCACAAAAGAGATGTAAATTTTTACCAGGTGTAGTGGTGCCCCTTTAATCCCAGCACTTGGGAGGCAGAGGCAGGCAGATCTCTGTGAGTTCAAGGCCAGCCCGGCTAGCCTACATAGTGAGTTCCAGACCAGCTGGGGCTACAGGGAGACCCTGTCTCAAAAAGACCGAAAAAAAAAAAAAGAAAGAAAGAAAAAAGAGAGAGATGTAAAAATTTTAAATGTATTATTTGTGTGTGTGTGTGTGTGTATGTGTGCATGATGCATGATATATATGTGTAAGTAGGTCTGCATGCCATAGCGTGCATATGGAGATCAAAGGACAACTTTGTGGAGTCAGTTCTCACTAATCTTTACATCGGTTCCACGGATTGAACTCAGATACCCAGTCTTGCACAGCAAGCACCTTTACCCACAGAGCCATTCCTCCAGCGTAATAAAAAGATGCTGCCATACCTGTCAACCTGAGTTCAATCCCTGGGGCTCACATGGTGGGAAGAGAAACTGACTCTCATAAGTTTTCCTCTGACTTCCACACACACACACACACACACACACACAAATAAATAAAGTGATAAAAAGTGGGTTTTTTAGTTTTTAAACTTAGACAAGGGACTGGAGAGATGACTCAGTGCTTAAAAGCACTTGTTGCTCTTCCAAGTTCAGTTCCCAGCACCCATGTTGGATGACTGACAATGCCTGTAACTCCAGCTTTAGGAGATCTGACAGACACTCCCATACATATGGCATACACCTAACATACACATCCACACATATACATAAGTTAAAATGAAAGTAAATCTTTTTTTAAAAAAAAGAACTTGGATAAGAGCTGAGTGTGGTGGTACATTCTGGTAATCCAAGCCCTTGAGAAGTAAAGGCAGGA